GCTCTGATCCGCCAGCGCTGACTGATGGAACGGACGGGGCGGGTACAGCTGGCTCTGCCTCTAGATAGGCAGAGACAGCTGTCAGTCACGCAGCTGGGCGGATCCAGACATAATTGTCGGGATCCTCTTCAGCTGCGGCACCTCAGTATACCGCGAGCAGTAGCTCGCGGTATACTGCGGCATCTCAGTATACCGCGAGCTGCAGCTCGCGGTATACTGAGCCTAGGGTGACGGGAGGACGCTAGTTTGTGTCCTCCCGTTACCCTAAGGAGAACTATGGGGAAAAGCCTTAACCCCTTAGTTCTCCTTTAATGCATATGCTCGGCCTGATGAGTCCAATGTGCTTTCCTAGGCCGCACATGTCTCTTAGATGTTATTATGAGGGATCGTATTGATATTACAGTATGTCATGGAATATGAGGGGGTCTCAATGACAAATTTAAACGGGCCATGATTTTAAATTACCTAAAACAACAGCACCCACACATTATTCTTTTGCAGGAAACCCACCTAACGGGCAGCAAGGTTCTGTCATTGAGACGCCCATGGCTACATAAAACGTACCATGCCCCTTATTCGGTGTATGCAAGAGTTGTGTCGATTCTAATTAGTAGGTCCCTTCCTTGTTCTGTTATCCATACCATCATAGATCCTGGGGGCAGGTATCTCGTTTTAATACTGAATGTGAATGCAAAGCAATTTGCTATTGTTAATGTTTATGTTCCGCCCCCTTTTCATGTGCAGATCCTCTACACCGTCATCATTGGCGGCTTTCCTTCCTTTGCCTGTCCTAATAGCGGGGGACTTCAATAACATTCTAGACCCCTCTCTGGACTCCTCCAATGTGGCCAGACCCGCGGGTTTGGAATTGATATCCTGGGCGGACGCGGCCGGCTTGGAGGAGATCTGGAGATGGAAAAATCCGGGACAGCGGGCGTACTCTCATCTCTCTCACACCCATGGCTCCTCAGCCCGCATAGATATGGCCTTTGGCAACAGGGATCTACTTAATCTGGTTGTCGGGGCTACCTATCTACCCGGGGGATTATCAGACCATGTCCCCTTATCTATTTCGCTGCTGCTTCCTGGTCCGGGGGGTTCTGGATGTTGGAGGCTGTCTCCGAGCTGGCTGAGCGTGGAAGCGGTCTCGGCCCATATTGTCCTTGCTATGGACGGGTACTGGGAGGTAAATGAAGTTACAGCATCCCCTGATATGGTGTGGGATGCCTTTAAAGCTAATGTGAGGGGGGAATATGTTTCGGCCATTAAGGCCTCCCGGGGGGAGTTTAACGCTACCTTGGAGGAGTTAAGTAGGGTGTAGTCTGGGTGTACAGCGGCTTTCGCGGATTCCCCGGGGGAGTCATCTCTGGAGGCGCTGAGAGTGGCACGAAGGGCCCTCAATTTACATCACGTAGAGATGACTAGATGCTCCCTGCGGGAACTCCGTGAATCACTCTTTGAACGGGGTGACAAAAATGGTGGACTTTTGGCCCTCCTGGTGGCGGATCAGAGGACTCAAACGACTATGCCATGTATTCTGGGTGAGAGGGGTGATCGGGTTACCGAGCCTCGGGCCATCCTACAGGAATTTCAAACGTACTACCAGCACCTATATTCCAGGATCCCAACATACGATTCGGAGCACCTGGAGGGACTCCTGGGGGGCTTATCCTTGCCGGCTTTGGGCGATGTGGACAGAGGAATTATGGATGCGGATGTGTCGGTTCCTGAGGTACTGGCGGCCATAGCTTGATTTCCCAATGGGAAATCGCCAGGGTCGGACGGCTTACCCGGGGAATGGTATGAATTATATGCGGAGCAACTGGCTCCCAGGCTTCGTGACCTGTATGCATCTGCCCTGGAGTCTGGTGGGCTCCTGGATTCATTCCGGGATGCACATGTGGTGCTTCTCCCAAAACCTGGCAAGGACCGTCTCCTGTGTTCCTCTTACAGACCCATAGCCCTTCTAAATATGGACCTCAAAATTCTTACCAAGGTGCTGGCAACTAGGTTGTCCGGGGTAATAGGCTCACTGGTAAATATTGACCAGACAGGGTTCATGCCGGGCAAGTCCACGGACACCAATCTGCGACGGGTATTTACCCATATCCATCTATCTCAAAGTGTGGAGAGCACCAGAGCGTTGGTGTCCCTGGACATAGCCAAGACATTTGACTCGGTGGATTGGGGATTCATGGCCCGAGTACTACGATCCATGGGTTTTGGACCACGTTTTCAACAATGGGTAGACTTACTGTACAATAGACCCAAGGCGGCTTTGAAGATCGGCCATGCTCTCTCCGCACCTTTTGCAGTGGAGCGGGGCATGCGTCAGGGTTGCCTATTGTCTCCAGCCTTATTCGCTCTGGTAATGGAACCTCTGGCGGTGTCCCTCAGATCCTCCCCGAATATTGCAGGTATCCAGGTAGGAGGGGTGGAGGAGCGCCTAGCACTGTACGCGGATGACCTCATCCTGTTTCTTTCTGATGCTGGATCATCTCTGCGGGCAGTGCTGGAGGTACTGGAGGAATTTGCTGTGTTCTCGGGTTGCGCATGAACTGGTCAAAGTCACATATCCTACCATTGAGTCCTCTGACTAAGCAACAGGCGGACCCAGACCTCCCTCTCCAATAGGTGGACAAAATTACTTACCTAGGGGTCACAGTTACTGCTGAGGTGGGGGACTACTATAAAGTGAACATGCTTCCTTTTTACCGAACACTAAGCGCAGGCTGGAGGCGTGGATGCACCTACCACTGACTCTTAAAGGGTGCACTAATCTCATTAAGATGAAGGTACTCCCTGTCCTGCTATACTTCCTACGCAATGCTCCCACACAGGTACCTAATGCCTTTTTTAAACAAATGCATGGACTCTTTTCCACCTTTGTTTGGAATTCCAGGACTCCACGGGTGAAGCTTAGCCTTCTCCAGGAGCCCTGGACTCAGGGAGGCCTTGCATTGCCTAATCTCAAGAAATACTACCTAGCGGGCCAGATTGTGGTGGCCCACCGCTGGCTCACTGTGGAGGATGGAGATGCTGCTGTGGTGACAGAGGCAGCGATATTGGGGTCATATGCAGCTCTTTCAGGGATGATTTATAGGGGAATGGGGGGCGCCCTATCCCCTGACAGCCCCTATGGAGGCGACTCTTAGGGCTTGGGACGAGGTGTGTAAAATCCTTTACTCGGACGTTGCTCAATTATCGCCACACGCTCCCATGTGGAACAACCCGAGACCGAAGCATTTTATGGATATTCCTGACTTTCACATCTGGCCAGTGAGAGGCGTTAGGACATTGGGGGATCTGACTTTGGCCGGTTCACTTCGCAGAACTACAAGAGAAATTTAAGCTTCGAAACAGTTACCTGTTTAGATATTTCCAGTTACGGCATGCCTTCCAGACGCAGATGGAGGGGCCACATTGTTCCCTTACGGTTTCGCCTCTGGAGTCCATGCTTAGGCGGGAGGGTATACGGAAACCTCTATCGCTGGTGTACCAGGCCCTGTCAGCCATGGAGCATGTCCATAGGCTACCTTGCAAGCCAAAGTGGGTAATGGACGTGCCGGATCTCTCCGATGATGACTGGGAGGAGGTGTGGGACTACCCCTTTTCCCACCTGGTCTCTGTCAGGGACAGGCTTATACAATTTAAAATCCTGCATCAAGTTTTTTACACGCCTGCAAGATTTGCGAGTATCTACTGTGATACTACGCTCTCGTGCTGGTGCTGTTTGGCACAACCTGCCGATTTTCGTCACATTTTTTGGGACTGTCCGGGGATTGCGGTGTACTGGAAACTAGTAACTGACTTCATCTCACAGGTTATAGTACTTCCTGTTCCACAAACTATCTCAGTGTGCTTAATGGGGCTCACTGAGCAAATTGCCCCTACCACTGCCCTGCGCACACTGACTGGGATACTGTTATTCTCTGCTAGGAAACTAGTGGTCCTCCACTGGAAGAGAAAAGACCCTCCTACTCTGTCGGAGTTGAGGGGTGTTGTCGATTCCTCCCTATATCTGTACAAGGCGGCCTATCTTAATAGAGGATGCCTGGGAAGTTTGACAAGATTTGGGGTGGTTGGATTGCTTCAGCCTAACTACGAGCAAGTGATGGGGTTGGGACACCTTGAGAACTCTTAGGATGATGTAAGCAGTTGACCCTATTGCACTATCCCTCATCATCTTATAGTTTCACACCTTTATTGTCTGGCCTAGAACTGGGTGGGCTATCATTACAGGAGACTGTTAACTCATTGCATTTATACAGGTGCTCATCCAGCCTAGTTGTGGGGGATTGGGGGCCTGGGGACGCACCTTCTTTGGCACTGAGAAATACTGAGATGTCTAGCTCTGGTGGTACACTCGGTCCTGGGGCACGACCTGGCACAAGGTTTGTGGGGGAGGGAGGGGGGGTTCTGTTATGAGGGAATGGAGGGTGGGGGTATGGGATGTTAATAACTAAGTATGTACCCCTACTGCTGTAGGAGACTGTTGTTAATATGTATTTTATATGCAAAACTGAATAAAAAGTACTTTAAAAAAAAAGTACCCTCAGTTAATTCCTCAGCTGTATCCTGTTGTCTGTGTACAATAAAGCACTTTGTGGATGAAAAGGTATTTGGTGAGTTCAGCTGTCTGATAAGGATTGTCCGCAGTGATTATATCTGCTTATACAGGCCAGGCATAGAGGTCTCAACAAGGGATACATCACTACAATACAACAATCAAAGTCAGCATAATGGGATTTCATAGGCATACGGTATGTCTGTTGCCCAATATGGTCAAAAAATAGTTGGCTAAGTCAATGCTTATCTCATTTCATAGGTTTCAATGGTTTTTACTGGCATTCAACCATCATTTTTAATTTTATACAGTGTATAAAACAGCTCCAGGGTTGTCAATACTTTGCGAAAAAGGGTCAATACAGTTTCATTATAGACCAGTCTTGCAGTATTTCCGACACACACTACATTTTGTAGCAAAAAGAATCTCTTACCTGATTCATTGCGTATGTACTGTCTGCCTACTATGCTGCCATCATCTTGAACCAAACTGACTGGGATACTTGGTTGGGACACCATCTTGTCTTTCTTACTGCGTGAAAGACCCCAGCGGTCCCACCTGGATCGTCTGTCATCTAGAATAAAATACCATGATAATCGAAGTTAAGCAAAACCTAAAACATAATTCAATATTATTTGTGGGTCTTGTTATAGAGGACACTTCATCAAAGGGCTAAATGCACTGCAACGGACTGGAGAGATGTAATAGGGGCCCAAAATGATCTCAGCGGTATCTCAAACACAACCTAAATGCACCTTAAAGCACGCTGCATTTGCCTATTAACACAAGGGCTAAAGCAATGTATTTAGATGGCATGCTGTATATTCTGTAGACATAACTCACCTTTTTCTACCATTTCTGATTTGATACTGAGACCAGAGTTGACAGACTCTTTGGAAGTTGATGTCCCAACCTGTGAAGCAAGCTGGTTTTGAGGTATTCCAAGTTTACGTATGTTTTCTCCTTCGGAGTTTGATCTCCTAAGTATAGACATCAGCGGTGTTCTCCTCTCAGGTCTGTCCTCTTTTGTATCCTGACTCTCTGAGTCCCTTCTTTCCTCTGACTGGCTTCTCATCTTCATGGACAAACGGTCCACAGTGTTTCCAATCTTTCTTCTCATTGCCAGCACGGGTGACTCACTGGCCTTCTTCTGTTCTTTGGAGACACCTTCAGAGATAGTTTCAATTGACCCTGTCTCTGATTTCAGGCTTTCGGTGTCTTTCTTGTCTTTGGTACTTCCCCTTCCTAAGGTCCAGGAAATACGTCTTCCTGGCAAAGAGGGTGACTCTGCTTCCTCTGCTTGCTGTTGCTTTCTCTCAGTTGTTGGACTCTTCCTGAAGCGTTGAGACAGCCTTCTCATGAAGCTTGGATCTCTTTCTGCATCTCGTAGATCCTGAACAGATCTAGACCTATCTTCCAAGCCTAGAGCTTCAGGCACTAGGAACTCAAGGGGAACACCAACTGGGCTAGGCCTGTACATTTCCTCTTCGTGTGATGCATGGGCAACTGCTAAATTCTTTTCTTCTGACCAAGACCTGGTCAGCATCTTCAATCCCCGAGTCAGAGAGGACTCTCGATTCCTCTTGAATTTGGCTTCAAACACTTCTTCTGAATCTATGTTACTGATGTATTGGATATTCTCTGTACTTTCAGCAGTGGGTGGTTGTTTCACCTTGGAAAACGCTGGTGGCTCTGGTACTGCTACATCTTTTTTAGTTATCTTTGCATCCATCTTGACTGCTGGAGTGGAACTTGGCTTTTCTTCTGGAGGCTTCTTTTGAAGCCTAGCTTGTCCTGTTGAGGAAATCCTTGATTCTTCAATGGGTTCTTGTGACGCATCTTCAGATGTTGACACGTAGAGTGTTTGCAACATGTCTGCATAGGCTGACTTTTTAGGTGATGCAGTACTTTCTGACTGGGGCTTTAGAACAGATGATGGCCCTCTAACTGCTGTCACAGATGGTGCTGGGACTTTTACTGGCATTTGTTGGGTCTCTTTCACCTGTGTGGCTGTAGATGGTGGCACAGAGACAGATGTATTTGGGGGTTGCTTTACTAACTTTGATCCAGGAGATGATATTGCTGGACCTGGTGAATGTGACTTTATTGTAGCTGGAGCTCTCAGGGAAGATGGACCAACAGTTAGATTTGGCAATGGAGATGAGAGAGCTTCAGTACTTGGAGGTGACAAGCCAATGGCTTGACCTTGTGGAGAAGATGTAAAAGTGACTGTCTTTGGCGAGGTTGAGGGAGAAAGAAAAGAACTTTTCAAAGTTGGTGAGACAGCATCTGGGTTTGGCAAAGTTGAAGTTGCTGCAGGCTGACTTGGAGGTGCAACAACTGGGGATGGTGAGAGTTGACTTTTATGTATAGCAGCAGAGGGAGATATTTTTCCTGATGTAACCTCTTTTGTGTGTGTTTTTTCTAAGACAGACTTCTCTTCTGTTTTAGGAAGCCCCTTTTGTAGCTGGTAAGGGGGTGCACTCTCTACTGGCAAAGCATTTGGTGGTTGTTCTGTTGTTCTTGCATCAAGTTCATTAGTCATTGTTACCTCTCCCTGGGATGGCTTTTCAGTTGGCTGCCCTACTTGTTTGCTTGGTATTTCCATTTTGGGAATCCCATCCTCTACAAATGAAGTCACTTTTGAAAGGACAGCTTCCAGGTTTTCTCCCTGAAGCATTTTTTCAGACTTAGGCTTCGAAGATGGTGACTTATCTTTGTCATCTACTTTGCGATTCTCAGTGTCTGTATCAACACTTTCAGCCTGTTGTTGGCTTGGTTCAGGAGTCACAGGCTTTGATGGAATCTCACGTGGAGTCTGAGGACGGGAATCAAATCGTGACTGATCTGTCAGCGCAGACAGAGAGGGAGACTCCTTTAAGCGCTGTGCTTCCACTTGAGCAAGTGGAATTTCAAGCGGTGCACCAGATCTACGATGCAGGATAAGCGGCTCTGTGTCAGAGTGTGAAAAAGAACTGGTCTTCCTTAAGACTCTCTCTTCTGATGCTTCTCTTCCTGGCGCTGCCTCACTGGAAGCGGCACGGGTAAGTTTGATGGCTGGGATGGGTGATGAAGGCGCATTGTCAGTTCTTTGGGGGCGCATGGGCATCTGCTCACCTCGTTTTTTATCAATGGAAAGTGTTTCCATCAGGGGACCTCTGAGACCACTTAGCTTTCCATCTGCTGAACCACCCCTCAAAAGTCTTTGCCTCATTAACTCCAATCGTTGAGCATACTCCTCCTCTGCTGATCCCAGTTTTTTACGTCTCATAGGGCTACGGTTTCTGGTTGGCAGCTCCATGGAGGCAGCTTTAGTCATTCCCTTCTCAAAATGATCCCTTTCATCACAATCTTCACTTGATACATTCAGCAAAAGTGCACTGTCAGCAGAGCTTCCCCTCCTCAGTTCACCTCTACGTGCTGATACCAGCTCCTCATCAGGTAACTCTGAAGACTCCAAGCTGGATCCTTTTCTGAGAGGCTTTCTTTTTTGATCAGCCTTTCGACTGTCCAAAGGTTCATCATCAGAAGAAGAACCCTCTTCAGCTTCATTTGATTTCTTCCTAGTAAGTGATGCCTTGGTTCGCTTGCTCAGAGACTCTGGAATCTCTCTATGTGGGACTTCTGATTCTGTGACTTTGCTTGCGGTTTCTCTTCCATCCTCATCCTTCTCCTGATCTGGAATAATGGCATCTTCTGTGTTTTGAGAAGGTTGATCTTCATCAGTTGGGATTTCATTAAGGGACATTCGAGAACCAGAAAACTGTACTTGAAGAGGCATTGGTACATAGGGGAGCTCTTCCAGGTCATCAGAATCTGAAGATGAGGATAAGCTAGAGGATTCTTTGTTATTTCTAGTGACGGCGATAGACAAGTGGCTGCTGGTGTCCTGCAGGAGCTCTGGGATAGACCGCATCACCATATTGGACTTGTAGCTGATAAGAGAACGCTGTTGAAGCAAAGGATAAACACATTTTAATGAGGTGCACAGTAAATATTTGCTTAACTTTTTTTTAAAGGAAATAACACTCCTTTTGACAGATATTATGTATATTAGTAAGCATTCACATACCAATGTAATAAAAAAAATATAATAACATAAAATAATATAATTTAAAAAAATACATTCTGTTAAAAACAAAACAATCTTACTGATCATAGGTTATAAATACATCGAACAGTCAGGCGTATATGGTCAAATTTTAAAACCTACTTCCAGGCCCACCCCCTTCCACCAAGTCCTTCCCCACCCACTTAGAGGCCCCCTGTATGTTAATTTTTCCTTTTCACAGGGCCACAGGGCCCTCTGCCCCTTTTCTGGTGCTGGGTAGTCCTTCATGATGTAGAGAGTGACGCTGATATGATGATGTCAACGCCGTCATGCAGGGTGATGTGATGACACCCCACCATCTAGTGGCAAAAAGGAATCCTGCAGGGAGGGCCATAGACAATGTGAGCATTGCAGCTTTTTTTTTTCTACTTTGCCCAGAGTTGTGCTTTAAATGTTTAGGGCCTGAATGTGGTTATACATCTTCCATGATACAACAGCAGTTTATCCTGCTTTGCTATATTAAAGCTGCACTGGCAGGTAGGGATGAAGTTGGGGTTTGCTGCTTCCATAGGTTCACAAACTTTGGGCTAAAAAGTGGAAAAGGTTGCATCAGAAATAAGGAACAGCCTATAATGCAGTGCATTGCCTTTACGCCTGGTTATCTGAGGGCTTGTTCACACCGAAAGCGTGTGCGTTCCAGAGTGGTAGCTGCTGGAACGCACCGCGATCGCTGAGAAACTTCCCCCCACATTTTGGGGCGGGAGGGGGTGTGGCGGTGCATTGAATTCAATGGCACCGCTTCCACGTCGCCCCTGCCCGGAGTGCGATCCGTTCCACTGCAAACGCAAAAAATAGGGCAAGCAGCTACCGCTCTGGAACGGAAAAGGTTTCGGTGTGAACAAGGCCTGAGTCACAAGAGCCAATAACGTGAAAGAATGGATAACCCATCCCCCTTTCTATAAAAGGGTGGGCTCACAGCAGCCAACATTTTAGTGTGTGTTGGACTTAGGGAGAGTTGACAATTCTGTGTAGAGAGATACTATTCTCATTTCTTTTATTTTAATATATACATATATACAAATACAATTGTTCTTTAAATTTAATGTCATGTTAAAGTGACTCCCAATCATAATTTTCTCCACATTGTATTTGACATTGTTACTAGCTCGACGATCTCACTGAAAGCTGCGGGTCTAAATATTAATGTTGCCAAGACTAAGTCGATGGAGGTAAATACAACAAACCTCTCCAGCTTCACTGTATCTGGCCAACAAGTTGAAAAAGTTGACACCTTTCAATACTTCGGGAGCCAGATTACGCCGGACAGTGGAACCTAGATTGACATCTCCACACAGTTCAGAAAAGCCAGAGGCGGTTTTGCAGGCCTCCGTAATATATGGCGTTCAAACCAGATTAGTCTTCGTACGAAGATTGGAATGTTCAATTCTAATGTGAAATCTGTGCTGCCTTATGCGACTGAGACATGGAGAGCCCACACAAAAACTCCAGGTCTTTGTATACTGTTGCCTGCGATACATCATTCATCCCTGGTGGCTGCAAAATTGGATCTCTAATATAGATATGTGCCACCGAATACCGGTTGCAACATTGATCCAAGAGCGTAAATGGAGATAGATTGGACATACATTACGAAAGGGGGCAGGTTAAATCCGTAGAAAGGCGCTCAATTGGAATCCCCAAGGACAGCGCAGAAGAGACAGACCCAGAGGCTCCTGGTGGCGAAGCCTATATGATGATATCAAGGCTGTTGACGTGAACCTGACCTGGCTGCAGGTCCAATTAAAGGCTGGGAACTGTCAACAGTGGAAGTCTTTCACTTTGGCCCTGTGCTCCTCAATGCAGCAGGATATATAACTAAAAAAAAAGAACTAGCCAGACAACTGACCTGCCACTTGCGTCGTGACTGGAACAATTTAATGTGATCCGTGCTGATGTTTTTTCCTTTTGCCAAAGTCTGCGAACAGATAACATATAAGACAAATTGTAAGTATGAATGTTTAAAAAAAACCCGCAACTATGATTATATTTAGCAAGTTTGTACCTCTGTCTCTTTAATTGTTCTATACAGTGTATATATATATATATTGTAACCAGGGCTGCTATAGTTGAACTCATTCTGAAAATGCTAGTTGCCTGACTGTCTGTGGCTTCAGTGTTTTTTCAGTCACTGACCTTGAACAAGTATGCATTCACTGAGATCCAGGTGAAGTCAAACTCCCAGATCTGCACTTTTACTTTGGGCCACTTCACTTACTGAAGCTGCTGGATCAGCATGACAACAACATTTATAACAATTGTGACTCAGTAAAGGTTTCCTTTAAAGCCTTGGTTCTCAACTGGTGGGTCGTGACCCAAAAGTGGGTCGCGATCGCGTGTTCAGTTGGTCGCCGCATGCCTTCCACTTCTCTAGGTGAGAGGCTCCCCAGCCTCCCCCTAGCACAGCACTGTCCATTCTTACACTGAGCAGCCATTCAAAATATGCTGCCAGGCTCCGAGTGTTAACTTGAAGTGGGGTGGGCTGGGGGTATGGCCGCGAAGAAGCTCCATCCATACGTGCAATGCTTATAGCTCCCTCGCATTTCCTATAGAGGTACCTGGACCGGAGTGATGTCACATTCTGGCTGTACAAGCAATACACGTATGGGTGGAGCTCTGTCACAGCACGGCAGCCCACACTGCTGTGCGTTCCATTGCAGTGCGACTTGGGTCGCCGCTTTATGATCGAGGACAAATATGGGTCGTGAGGTTACACAGGTTGAGAACCACTGCTTTAAAGTATTGCTTTCTTATTTGAATATTTCCACCTAAGTTCTGTGTTGTTTTGAAAAAGTTTTTCATTTAACCCTTTCTCAATAGCATAATGTATACGGTATATGCGGCAGTACAGTAGGTGGGCTGATACATATATCCATCCAAGGGGCTCTACTGGTGTGTGCTAAGAGTGCGCTCACTGGACATTGACCGAGTTGTCACTGTGAACGATCTACATCAGCGGGAAGGGCTCCCGATCATGTGACCAATATGATTGGCTCAATGCAGTAGAGTCCTACCTGATGAAGGGACCCTGAGTGGCCCTGAAACTTTGCTATGTGACAAGATGTGTGTGTATCAATAAAATGATCACTTCTTGAAGATTTGACCACGGTGTGCTGGTGACATACTTCACTACTCAATATGATTGGCTGGCACAGCAGTCACATGATCAGCATCCCGTATCCGTCTCTCAACGTTAAGACTCAATGTCAAATCAACAGGCTGAAGGTGTGTTCTTGACTGATGCAATGTACTCCAGCAGTCAAGAACACACACCCATGGCCTGTTGATTGGACATTGAGTGATCAGACTCTGCAGCAGTGAAAGGAGTAGAGGGCAGAGTGACCAGAGGGTCACTGCTGCAGAGTCTGATTGGCTGCTAGTATGGCCCCTCTCTCTTCCAGTCTGGGTCATGCTGTGCAGGTTACAGGAAGCTCATATGTAGACAGGTACTTACACTAGTTACAATTTAAAAATATTCTTATTCCTTAAATAATTCAAAACTGTGTTCATTGCTATTATTTTATATCTGCCTGGAGTGCAGGGTCAGTTGATGATGTTTCATAATGCAGTCCAAATTGTGTTAGCCTAAAAAGTTTTGCGTTGGATTGGTAATAACGGAGAACTTGCATGAAACTCTGATTATAAAATAAGAGTTTTTCTGGCATAATTAAACATTTAAAGGACTCAGTTTGAATAAATTGGATGCCACAAAGCGGATAATGATAATGAGGAATCACACTCACTTTGAACCATGGATGTACCAGACTCTCCTCGGCATTGGGTCTCCTAATCCAGACAGAAACAGAAAAGGTTAATATCTCAGTACATAATCTCATTGTAGTATCATTATGTGTATAGTAATCCAACAAATATGACCTTCAAGACTGATGGACTACATGGAACCCAGATATTAAAGGCCAACTATACCCCAAAGCCCCCCAATGTCCCCCATTCCCTTAGTAGAAAGGATTTCCCAGAATCCTCAGAATTGTTTGAATACAAACACACCTATATAAGCTTGTTGGACATCCCATTCCAAAACCATATAGTTATTTATGTATTATTTATTACAGGTATGTATACCCCTATGCAGATATAACAGTCCACACTCTTCTGAGAAGGCTTTCAACAAGAATTTGGAGTGTGTCTGGGGGAATTTGAGTGCATTCAACTAAAAGAGCATTTGTGGGGTCAGGTACTGATGTTGGATGAGAAGATCTGGCTTGCAGTTGGTGTTCCAACTCATCACCAAAGGTGTTAAGTAGGGTTGACATCAGGACCTCCATCCCAAACTCATCAGACCATGTCTTTATGGAGTTAGCTTTGTACACAGGGGTACAGTCATGCTGTAACATAAAAGGACCTTCACCAAACTGTTACCACAAGGTTGAAAGCCCACAGATGTTTATAATGTCTTTGTATGCTGTAAAATTAACAGTATCCTTCACCGGAAAGCCCTGAACTCAATCATTTGGTGGGCTCTCAACATACTTTTGGTCATACAGTAGGTGTGATGGTCAGGTGTCTGCATATGTTTGCCCATATAGTGTGCTAGTTAGGAATCCAAGGGTTGCCATCTTCCTTATTACAAGACTGATGCTGATATGATCATAGTACAGACAGACTCTCCCCCATAAATAGGGAGAACTGAGCATGAGCATGGCCAGTAGCATGGTCAATCTTACAAGTAAAGATTTGCAAATACATTTAATAAACCCATGGAAATGTCAATATCTGGCTTGGAAAGATGTGTTTTCCCTCCCCGAGTGCTACTTTAGGTGGGTAATACTCACAGCTTCTCGTTGCCCAAGACCTTAATAAGGAATCCTCTCGCTTCTCGAGTTAAATCTGCAAACATCTTTTCTTCAAACGCCACCGTATATCCTCGGATGTTCATCAGCGTGGTGTAATCATTTTCACCCACGAAGGGGGAAACTCCTGTGAGGCTTTAGGAGTTATATACATTCAGTATACAGTATGTGGCATATGGTGTGTTATTGATGTTTATCTTATTACAGCAGCTTCAAAGTAAAATATTCTCTATACATGCAGTGACATTGTATGTTGTATTGAGTGTTAGATCCTTTTCAGAAATGATAAGGCTTTGATAATTTGCAGTAATACTCAATTTTTTGGAGCAGCATCTAGTGGCAGACTAGGGGCAGCTATTTGTTGCTTGTGTTCCCATTAAGGAGAATTATTCTCACTCTCTGTCCAGGTGAATGTGGACATTGAAAACGGATTAGGACCAATGGAGTCAAATGTCCCAAAGTTGGATTTTTTAAAAAAATGGGAATTCCTGCCATTTCCTGTTGTTTCCCCTTGGCAGGACGGAAGGAGAAATCTTGTCACACAGACAGCAATAAAAACTTGACAGAGGTTCTAATCCATCACACTCTACACATCCCACAATGTGTATTAGGAGCTACAGCACATCAGATACAGCCTGCCTCATTTCCCGGCTGGAGGACATTGTGCATCATCTACGTCTTTCCTCCCAAACCTGTCCCTGTCCCACCCCTTTCAGTGATAGGATTTCAGTTCTATCAATCATGGAGGCTCAGTATCACACATGGGTGCATAGGCGTGTGCACAGGGTGTGCTGAGCGTGCCTGGGCACACCCTAATCACCCCAAGCACAACACCAATACTGCAACAGCGGGTGCTGTGTCTTTAGTCACTGGGCCAGTGGAAAGATCACAAAGATCTCTCTGTGACCGGCTCAGCTATACAGAGTGCAGCAGCACTCACCACTTACATTCCTCATTTAACAACCACAGTCATCGGTGCCTGGGGAGCTACGAGGGGGCACGGCTGCAGCTTCCCATCCATACAGTAAGGCGGGCGCATGGTCACATTACCACTTGCCAGGCTGCCTGCTTCATTACTGCACCCCTGCTGGAAGAGGTAAGGGACAGTTGAAGAGATGAAACATGCCTATGGGTGGGTGTTATGTAAGGTGGTCTGCATGCAAATAAAAGGAACACCCACTCCTCCAGACTGACATCCACACATCAAGGCATTTGGATATTTGCATAATTCCTTCCAAGAGCCGGCCCACTGCTTGAATCAGACCAGAGAGCTCTTGAGAGGCGTACTGAGGCTGGGTGCTCTGACGTTTTCAGGAAGCTGTGTACAACACCCTGCTGGCCCCTCCCACCTGCCACGATCTGCCTGCATTGCATAAAGAAGCACAGAGACCCAGAGATAACATCACTGGGTCTAAAATAAGGTGTGCAATGAAAACAGAAAGGTTTTATGTAAAAATATAATTAGCATGTGGATGAGGGTATAAAAGGAACCAGGAAAGGCAAAATATTAGCAGATTAAATGTCCGCTTTAACAAGGGACTTTCTTAGAACTGTATGAGAATGTAGTGACCTGATTCAATACACAATAACGAAAAGCATGTATCGTTTTATTGAGAAGATGCCAATTTGATCACACGCACTGCAGCTGGGAAAGATCCCAACAATATTGTCAGGATCCATCCCATTCCCTGATTGGCAGCTGGCTCCGCCTCTTTAGATCCAGAGCCCGCTGTGCCCACCCCCTCCCCTGTCTGCCCTTATTTTACCAATTTTATTAAGAGGATTTCACAGAAAGTAATATAATCCACATACCATAAATATGCAATGACCCCGACTGGCCTGGAAAGGAAGGAAGAACAAACATTACAAAACCAGAAAGAGATAAGAAGAAGCTGGATTTCAGAGTATCGCACAGTGTATGCGTTGCCTGTTCATACCAAATATCGGAGACTGCAGAAATCGGCATCTGGTTGACAATCTCTGGGGCCACAAACTCAGGCGTTCCGTGTTTGCAGTACTGCGGTTCCCCATCAATCAGCTCCTGGGCATTCCCAAAATCACAGATCCGGATCTGATCGCTGGTCATGTCCGCCATGAGAATATTTTCTGGCTGAAAAGCGACGGCATATACAGTATGTTAATACAACTGCGGTGTTAAACGGATTCTTTAAAATCTATGTGAGGGCAAAATAAAACAAAATGCGAATTTCCACTTGACTGAACCCATTACAGACCCGACAAGTACAGAAAAATCTCTGTTGACTGCCAGAAATGCACTCAGCCCTAATGCATGTGGATAACACAGCATCTAGTACACTGAAATGGCAAGGATCGTTATCAGCACTATCTTTGGCTGAGCTACAGAACCCCTTACCCTTTCCTAACCCTCATAGTATAGGGGAGGATGTGTTCTGTAGTGCAAGATGGGAACTGGAAGAGCTAATTAGACTCCTTGAGATAACACAAGCAAAGTACAAATCCTTCATGCAGGGCCGGTGCTAGGATTCTTGCCTACACAGGCAAGGTGCAAAACAGGGCATTTTGACAAGTACTTGTACAGCGGCCAGCTAAATTGGGACCCCCACCTGGAGCTCCTCCCACTGGACCAGCGCTGACTCGCCGCTGCTCTCCCGCACCGAAGGTAAGTGAAAAAAAAAACAAAAAACATAGCACAAACATCGGGGCATTTTGACAAGTACAAGTACTTGTCCAAATGCCCTGTTTTTTCCACCCTCACCCTGCAGCGCCCTCAGGCCTTCATGGAATATGTAAATGTAAGAAAAGAAGGATCACTTAATAGAAAGATTAGTGGCACAGAATTGTTGCATGGGAAGTGCAGTGATTTTCTTTCTCCAATGTCTGTATATCACAGTGATATGTCCCCCAATCTGTGGCTCCCTAATGCAGATAAAATATTTTTCTTGCAGCTTTTTGCAGTGGCATAACCGACACATGCACTGGAAGAGACAGGGAAGCAACTCACCTTGATGTCCAGATGTAATATTTTTTTATGATGCAAATAATCTAATCCTTCCAAAATTTGACGCACAAAGGATCGGATCTGGAAAAAGACCAGGAACAGCGTGTGAAAGGTCCATGGGAACACATTGATATAAACAATGACTGTTATGCATGCTTAGCATTTACCATGTGCCTCATATACAGTCAGCTGCACTTATACACCATGTCACATGCAGTACACAATGCAGTCAAACTACACTGAGTGGCCAGTTTATTATGACCACCTAACGTTTGTAGGCAAGTTATCTATAATTAGCTATACTTTCGCGCTGCTGTAGAAGCTTGCAGCTATTCAACGCATCTAATATAAGAACTGCAATCAAGCAGTGCCCACAATGCATTGGACATTGCAAATCTGTGGCTTTCACATGACCACAAACACGACTTGCTGTACTCACCTCTGATTCATGCACTGTAGATTTCCTGACCACTCGGTCTAGAAGTTCCTCCTTAGAACATCTTTAGACAATCAAGGAACACAATGAAAACTGGCGGCTATAATACATTGTAATTCCTTACTCATCACACAATGGCATTTAAGCATTTTTTATATGCATACGTGACCTCCGAGTCTGAGCCAGTGAGAGGAGAAATACAGCTTTTGATATAATTTGATACAATTAAATAGATTAATATCAATATTTAGACAGATAAGATGCCCGCAACACTGCAATGAGCTTTACAAGCATATTAGGACTCCCTCACACCAGCCCCGTTGGGCTGAATTGGGCAGCATTGCCCAAGGCAGTCCCAGCGCATAGAGAAGGCAATTTTTCTTAAGTCCTATTAATTCAGTTGTACTGAAATAAAGTCATTTTGATGTGACTTTACCTATTGATTGACCTCCAAGAAGTCTATTAAAGGAGAACTATGGTGTGAGTGTTTTTCCACATAGTTCTCCTCATGGTCACGGGAGGACATAAACTAGCGAGCTACAGCTGGCGGTATACTGAGACCGCCGCAGCCAGGACGGATCCCGACATTACTGTTGAGATCCACCCAGCTGCGTGATTGACATTTTGATGTTTTTCTGTTTAAATAATCATAAAATAATAAGGCTAATGTGAGGCAATTCTTTGGTCCAATAACAGGTCCGGAATAGCTGAAATGTGCTTACGCAACCTTTGCTGCCCCTTAAAAAAAAAAACACTAGACATGTGTGATCCGTTTCCGAAAAATTCGTTTTTCGGACGAACTTTCGTTATTCGGAGAGTCGATATATCCGAATTTCCAAATAACAGAAATGACGAATGAAAACGAATCTGAATTTCTGTCAAAATTCGTTAGCTGTAGTCTGTACGAATTTTCGTTTGTGGACGAATTTTCGCTGCAGCAAAGTGACATTAAAAATAGTTTTTTTGTTTTTTTTTAATGTCACTTTGCTGCAACGAAAATTCATCCACAAACGAAAATTCATACAGACTACCGCTAACGAATTTCGTCCGAATCCCAAAACGAATTGACTTTCGGACCCAAATCCCGAAAAACAAAATAACGCAAAATCCAAATCACACGAAACTAAACTAAACACATGTCTAAGAAACACCCTAATTCTGCTTCCCCTGTTGGCTTTACTGTATCTCGCATTTTTCCCAAATTTCCGCAATTTTGCAGGAAATAAAATATTGAAACTTTGCTCATCCTATCTGCAACATTAGATCATCGTTTGATTATATCATTAGATGAGATCATCGTTTGATCCAAACTCTGTGTTTGTCTGTCATTACATGACATTAGTACTGCCTAGTAGACATGTGCGATTCGTTTCGTTCCGAATCGAAATTCGGACGCAATTTTCGGAAATTCGGAGCATCCGAATTTCCGAAATATAACATATCCGAAAGCCTCCAAATCCGAGATTCCGGATTTGGAACGAATTTCGTCCAAATCGTGTGCGTACACTGTTAACATTTAAACGAATAAAAACAAATTAAGAAAAGGATTTTAAATGAGAACTATGGGGTTAAGGCTTTTACCCATAGTTCTCCTTAGGGTAACGGGAGGACACAAACTAGCATCCTCCCGTCACCCTAGGTTCAGTATACCGCGAGCTGCAGCTGCAGAGTATACTGAGATGCCGCAGCTGAAGCGGATCCCGACAATTGTGACCGTGACAGGATCGAGAGGTGAGCGAACGCCGGTATGTGTTCGCTCACCTCCCGATCTACTGAGCCGACCTGTGACAGTCTCATTGTCACAGGTTGGCTAGAACTATGAGGTGAGTGAAAAGCACCCACCTCATAGTTCTCCTTTATTGTCCCTTTAATAGTAAAGACTAGAGCACAGCAACCAGAAATGTCAAATGTGCCAATTCTGCTACCCAACCTCAAGTTGAATTTTCGGGAATTCGTCCGAATTCCGAATCCGAATTCGATTTCCAAAACGAAACACATATAGTGTAGGATCCGAATTCCAAAAACAAAATAAACGAAATCCGAAACAAATTTTTAGCCGCTGCACATGTCTACTGCCTAGCTGATTTTGCCCTGGATGGATATGCTATTTCAGGGGTGGGCAACCTCGGCACTCCAGCTGTGGTGAAACTACAAGTACTATGAGGTATTGCAAGACTCTGACAGCCCCAGACATAATTCCCAGAGGCAGAGTCATGACAGGATTTGTAGTTTCACCGAAGCTGGAATGCCCAGGTTGCAATTTCTAAGATATGAAAATTTAATGGTTCAATTATAAAGGAGAGTGGATATTAATTTCTACTATACTTTGTGGTACTACTACATACTATTGGCTGCATTTGTCGGCCCATTCATAAAATAGGGGCCTTCAGCATGCCATAGAGTTCTGTCTTGTTAATGTAGCAGAGAAATTGGAGGAGAGCCAGCCATGTGACTTTGACAGGGCCCTAATACCATTTTATTATTGCACTCCGCCAGCTTTGGCTTTGACTCGCCTCATAAATATGCAAAGATTTTAATTTAATAGCAGAGTACTCTGGCCACGCCGCTGCCTTTTCAATTGACTCCTTCATTTGAAGGAAATGGCTTATTTCTGGAACACAGAAGTGGTCATTCCAGATTCTTAGTATACATCCCTGTAAAATCTCTCTCTCTGGTAATGTGAATTCGTGGTCTTAGTCCAATAGTGGATACAGCTCCATGATGATGATCAGCGTGCTCCGCTTCTCGAACGCCTCTTGGAAATAAACAATCCTTTCGTGGCTGATCTGGGACAGTATATCCATCTCTCTCCTCGCCTTCTCTCTGGATGACCCCCGCGATGAAATAAACTTGGCCGCAAAATCCAGCCCGCTTCTCTTCTCCAGCACATGGCGGACGTAGGAGAACGCTCCTCTGAGACACAAAAAAAAAAAGAATTAAAATGATCTTCATCTCTCTACGCCTAATGAAATGACACCAGACCAACAGCAGCAAACTGCAGCACACACGCGGGGTGCGAATGAGAACCTGTCACATAATTTTAAACAAAATTGTACAAAAAAAGGAAAAGACTTACCTTCCGATCTCCTTGTGGATGGTGTAGTAGTCCGTCAACCTCCGAGCTTTCAGTTCATCTGATTTGTCCATTGCTGACCCGGCTCCAGGCGCCTCTGTACAAAATATTCCATTAGTATAAAGGAGAAACTCTGCTTTCCTTAAATGAAAACTTTTTTGACATCTATAAGACCTACACAGACCCTCCTGTCATTTCAAAATACAAAAAAAACACAAATAATAACAACGTGTGAAAAAATACATTGCATGCAGATTCGGTTACAGTAGGGGATTGCCCTACTCACTTCTCTGACTTTTGGCTAAGATCAAGTGTAGTATCTGTTTTTATCAGTGTTCATAAAGGGAAATGCACCGATTTTCCATCATGTAGAAATGGCTGGCTTCAGCGTACCCTGTCTGAGATGATGGGGGTCCCAAAGTGTGCTGGCCATGGAAAGGAAACTGAATTGAGCACCCCTCTACGTAAGGGTGGGGGTCAAGAATACTTCCTTAGTGCCATTTACTCCTAATTAGAGCAGATTTACCTGGTCTGGCCATGGGCTGGGAGCACAGAGGCCCACAGTACTGTGTCCCCAATGGGTGGCGTCCCAGGGGTGCAGAGAATAACTATGGGTTTTGGACCCCACTATGGGTTTTGGACCCCACTGTGTGATACTGGCCCTAGGTCATTTAACCCTAAGCTTATTCTGCAGCACGCTTCTTGGGCAGGCCTTCTGGCTAGCTTGGTGCAATTTCTTTTATCTAGGCCGGAAGGTCTGCGATGTCTTGCACGGGCACTTATTCATTTATTGATTACACTATTTTTTTGCATGGCTGCACGTTTTGACCCCACAGAAGACAGAGGGTGTTGGGTCCTTTGGGGCCAACCCTGATGTTAGGGGAGAGGCACTGTGGCCTTTGGCTCTTTTTGCCTCTACCCATTTGGCGGTCTCTCTTTGGGAAAGCCCTCACCAAATACTTGGTGGACTGGCTTCGATTGGTCCCTAAGGATCGGGATCCATCTGGCTTTGGTGATGGTCCTGGGTGGACCATCACCTTGCCCCCAGGGTTCAGGGAATCGTGGCTCTTCCTCTTCAGAGAAGGACCAAAAGCACCCTTGTGCACTTTATTGTGCTGGACCACTTTTTTGGTTTACAGAAGATGTATGTTTTTTGATGCACACACTGCAGGCTTAAAAAAAAAAGAGAAAAGTACAGTAGAGGATTGTTTTTTAAAAGATGCAATATAAATTGTGACTGTAGTTCATCTTTAAATGCATCTGCATCATGTAACATCCCTATACTAATATCCTCCCTCACTATGCATCATGATGGAGCAAGAAAAAAAAAAAAAGAACATGAATGCGTGTGTAACACAGAAATGCACAGAAATGCATATAGAGATATCATGAATATCGAGCTTACAGTAGATTTCATTTTAGCAGCTCCAATCACCTACCTGCGGACACCTGAAGTTCAGCCTTGCAGGAGAGCTCTCCGGCCAAATTGCGTGCTGTGCAGGTATATACTCCCGAGTCCTCGGGGGAGGCATTGAGGATGACCAGGGAGCACTCGGCATCATCATACACAAAGTTGAAGTGTCCACTCTCCACTAAGAGCTGACCATCCTGGAGTAAATGAATGCAGAGAGAAGAGGATGTGAGATAATGAGCAAACACAATAAAAGTGATCATATATGGAAACAATAGTGTGTGCACTTGGGGGGGTCGATGACTGAGCTGCAATGGGTAGGCTGGAAATGTTGTTTGATTATCTATCCATAAGGATAAGAGGTCAAGTGCAATACTGCCTTGTAGACAGTAATTGGAGGATCGCCCAACATGCACTGAATAGTAGGTACAGGGTAAGCAGTACCAGGCTATGAGCAATTTGGTTTCAGGTTTCTTTATCGCATGTTTACCAGACTAATCTTTACTGCTCTGTTGAAGAAAAAAAAATGCTGCTGAATAGCTCAAGCACCAATTACAAACAGGAGTGACTCATCCCCTTCCTCCCCTCTTGTCCTGCTCTGTATTCAATAAGAGAGAGGCCATCTCAAAGCAATCAGACTCTGCTGAGTTTTCTCCTTTAGAACACCCAGCGTGCTTTGCAAATTCTGTGTCATGAATGTGTCTGTGTCTTGTACTCTACGCTTACTTGTAAAAGAAAGATGCAATCGTAAAAAATATATATAATACAGTGGTTTAAACAATGATATCACATGGACGAAAGTAGTTAAAATACATCATATCAAATATAAAATAAAATAAATTAATATGGAAATATCAAATAAAGTTGAATTAAAACCAATAAAGTTTCCATTTGGGATCCGTGGCTGATCTGAACATACCTTGTACCACATGATGTCCGGTACTGGTTTCCCTTCCACCACCACCACAAAGCGTGCCGTCTCCCCCGTTCTGATCTCAATGTCTTCCATGATGGAGTCAAAACGGGGCGTCTCTGCAAAAAATAGAGAATTGTTTAAAGACTTGTAGCCCCCATCACCTTCTGTGATGTGGCTACTAGACATTTAGTGATAGCCAGGGCTATAGTCAGCCTGGCTGGAATTATAGTGGCATTTATCTGGTTTATTCCAGGTGTCTGGCATTGACTGTACCCCCCTGGGCGGAGTGTGACTCTGTCCTATTGTGGGACAGCCAATGAGAGACACTGTAGTGTATGTACAGTACAGCAGCCAATCACTCAGTTTCTCTCAACCAGTGGTGCATGCTGGGATAGGGTACATATACTGGAGGGATTTGGTCAGACTAGCTGGGACCAGCCATGGATTAGGGCTAGGTGCTGCCCAGCCTGCCCCCCCCCCAGACTAGGCCTGAGGCCTGGGGGTGGGCATAGGCTAGTGTGAGGGAAATGTTTCCCTGAGGCCTCCAACATGGAGGAGGCCTGTGATGCTGTCAGAGGAAGAGACCCAGGACCGAGGATGGCTCTTGAAGTATCCTGGAACTCAGAGAACTTCAGGAGCATGGCCGGTGTCTCTCCTATCTGTATTCATCCTTGCTCATCTGCTACTTCAGTTGCTATCCGCTGTCTCCCAAGTGGATCTACACTGAGATGTTAACCAGGTCTGGTGAGTCTGGAGTCTATGTCTGTTACACCCTGGTAGCTTAGAACCCCTATACCCTCTCTCCCCAGTGAAGATGTTCAATAAAACGTTATTCTGCATTATACTATCGGAGTGGACATCAGTTTGTGGGCACCAGAAGAAGGGCGGTTAATGCTAATGGGAGAGGCCTGGGGGTGGGCATAGGCTAGTGTGAGGGAAATGTTTCCCTGAGGCCTCCAACATGGAGGAGGCCTGTGATGCTGTCAGAGGAAGAGACCCAGGACCGAGGATGGCTCTTGAAGTATCCTGGAACTCAGAGAACTTCAGGAGCATGGCCGGTGTCTCTCCTATCTGTATTCATCCTTGCTCATCTGCTACTTCAGTTGCTATCCGCTGTCTCCCAAGTGGATCTACACTGAGATGTTAACCAGGTCTGGTGAGTCTGGAGTCTATGTCTGTTACACCCTGGTAGCTTAGAACCCCTATACCCTCTCTCCCCAGTGAAGATGTTCAATAAAACGTTATTCTGCATTATACTATCGGAGTGGACATCAGTTTGTGGGCACCAGAAGAAGGGCGGTTAATGCTAATGGGTGGGCAGCTGAAGATCATACCCTAGACAGACTAGAGATGAACCGGGCATTCAGCGGCTCCTTCGGGGGTGAGCACTACAGACTTTTTACAGAAAACAGAGGAATGACCCTCTGGAACTGGAAATCAATGCCAACTGAAAACATTCACCCTGGGGGAGGGGGTGTTCAGCCATAGGCCCCCAATACATATATAATGGCATACATTTTAATGAACGT